TAAGAGAAATGGGGTCTTGCTATGCTGCCCTGGCTGGATTATAGTGGCTATTCCTAGACACAATTATAGCACACTGCAGCCTCGACCTTCTGGGTTCAAGCAATCCTCCTGCCCTAGTCTCCCAAGTAGCTGGGACTCTAGGTGCACACTACTACACCTAGCTCTGTAGCTATACTGTTAATACAGACAAATTCTGTTGTTTGGAACTGTCTTTTACTTCCCTACAACTTATTTATTTATTTTTTTTAGTTGGAGTCTCATTCTTGTTGCCCAGGCTGGAGTGCGGTGGTGTGCTCATGGCCACCGCAACCTCAACCTGCTGGGCTTAGGTGATCCTTCCGCCTCATCCTTCGAAGTAACTGGAACTACAGACACATGCCACCACACCCAGCTAGCTTTTGGGATTTATTGTAGAGACAAGGTCTCACCAAGATGCCCAGGCTGGTCTCGAACCCCCAGGCTCAGACAGTCCTCTCGTCTCAGCTTCCCAAAGTGCTGAGATTACAGCTGAGCCACCGCGCCCAGCCACTACTACTTTTTTGTGTGACACAACACTTTTCTCAAAAGCTTTGCTCAGTAATATTCCTTAAAAATTGTGCCCACCACTGGCTCTTTAGTTTGGCTTAATTCCAAGAAAGCCCAGTCAGTAGGAGAGCTTGATATTGGCCACCTCCTGCAGCCACTTTGCAGTGGGCAGAGATGCCCTAGGCAAGATAGCCATCGTGTTTGTAGTTTTTAGATCCCACCTTATCCTTATGCCTTTAAACATTTTAAATTGAAAACAGTTCTGTGTTGATACCACGCTCACCAGGCAGTCTTCTGAAAAGCAGTCTTCTGATCCTCATTTCTTGTTACCCAGTTTCTTATTGTATAAATCAATAGATTGCCATTCTGTCTTGTATATCAATCTTTTGTGAACTTGGTTAGGATAAAGTAGCTTCTAGAATTTGATTGCCTGGAGACACTGGCATCTGAAGGCCAGACTTTGTTCCTTGGCAGCCTGAGCAGAGCAGCCGGTTCTACAAGGTCCCTTGGCAGCTGGTTAGCTCCCTCAAGGCCCCACCCTGAGTTCACCATGCATCTTTCTCTCTGACTTCTGCAAGCATTACTTATGCACCACATACCTCTGTGAGTGCTGGTGGTTTCTTTGTACTCTTTTCAAGAGGCATTATAAAAGGTTTTGCTTTTTCACCATTCACATTTTGAATGGAATCTATAGGGCCTTGGACAACTAGAGTTGAGACTTGACCTTTTTTTCCTCCTAAGAACTGGCAAACCACTTTGAAAATTCTCTTACCAGCTACAGATCTTATTGACATTTCCCTGCTCATTAGTACCTGCTTGCTAGAAGAAAGGGCTTCTAAAATGCTCAGGTATTGCCCTTTGTTGGAGCTTTTATGTCCTCCCACCTCCTTACATGTTTTGTTGAAAAAAGTAACAAGCATTTGTTTACTAAAAAACATTTGAAGAGAACCATCTATGAACTTAAATTTTATATGCCTAATGGAGGATCACTAGAATACCACTGCAAATGGTATACCTGTCCCCCTCTTGAAGATTCAGGATGCATGTTGGCATATTAAAGATGCTGGAATTCTTATGATAAGATATTTGTTTAACTTTGTATAATCGGATTTCTTAAATGTACTTGAATTTCTCAACTTTCAGCCCATCCTTCCTTTCCTACCCCAGACCCCTATTATCAAGCATGATTTGGGAGATGTTTGTGAGGTACCATCCCTGTTCTACTTTTTCTTCTCTGACCTTTCTATATCTGATCCTGAAACACAGAACAGGAGCCTAGAGATTCTGAGGTTTACAAAAATGGTTTGGCAGCACTGCCTTAGATAGCAATCCAGTAAGAGAAGCTTAGTCCTTAAAAATCACTTGGACATGATCATTCTTGAGTTTATTTTTTATTATTTATTGTTGTTAAAAAATAATACTATTAAAGTATTTAGCACATTAAAAAACAAATTAAACTACATTTCTATAATAGTACCTTACATTTCTATAAGCCATTGTGGCTTTCCTTTGTATTTCCTGTATATTATCTCAGATGGCCTTAGACTAGGCCTATGAACTAGGCAGAGCAAATATTATAATCTCTGGGGGAAAAGCGACTTGAGTGCAGAATGTTCTGGTGGTTTGAATAAGACCATCGTATCAATTAGCAGTGGGGCTGGGATTAGGTCTCTGAATTTCTGACTCTTCAATACTTTCTTTTTCCACAGCTGCTTTATTAGCCAACCTTTATAGAGTACTTTACTGTTTGCTAATTCTTTCAACTACCCCCTTCACCATTTGATAGGTTGTTTCATTCATTCACTAATGCCTGCCGTGTGTCAGATACAGTGCTGCTGTGGTGAACATTCAAAACGAATCCGGAAGCATTCTGGCCCCAAGGTGCTCCTGGTTTAGTGGGGTAGACAAATCAAGTGACAAGCATCAGCACCTGAGACACATTGGCACAAATGTTAGAAAACACACACAAAAGCATGACTGATGTGATGTGTCTTCTGGGAGAGAATGTTCAATAAGTCACCACAGGTAAGACTTCAGCTAAATGGGGCCATAGAGGTTCAGCAGGATTCCTGCAGAGGGAGTAGAGGATACAGCTGTTTCAAGGTTAGATCATACGAGGTTTGGAGGTATGGAAGAGCTAGATGTGTTGGGAGGAGAGTGTGTGGTGAGGAAGAGCAGCAGATAAGGGAGAAATCAAAGGAGTTGGAGTCCTGACCCCACAGCTCACTCCAGGCTTTGAGTCCTACTTCATAGGGCTGTTGGGAGGATGGAGTGCAGTCATGCATGGGAGGGGCCACTATCTTAGGTCTTCAGGAGAAAGGAGGGAAATCAATGAATAAGATATCATAAAGCAGCCAGATGCGGTGGCTCAAGCCTGTAATCCCAGCACTTTGGGAGGCTGAGGCAAGAGGATTGCCTGAGCCCAGGGGTTCGAGACCAGCCTGGACAACATGGTGAGACCTCGTCTCTACAATAAATAAAAAAATTAGCTGGGTGTTGTAGTGCCCCTGTAGTTCTGGCTCCTTGGAAGGCTGAGGTGGAAGGATTTCCTGAGTGCCCAGCAGGTCAAGGCTACAGTGGCCAGGAGTATGCCACTGCACTCCAGCCTGGGCAACAGAGTGAGACTCTAACTCCAAAAAAAAAAGATATAAATTTCCTGATATATATCCCTGCACTCACTGTATGTGAGTTGTCCTTGTTTATCATGCTAAACTAATTTGACTTGTTGTCAGTATTGAGAAGCCACGAATGATTTTAAACAAGTGATATGATCAGCTCCTTGTTATAAAAAGATTTAAAGTAGTAAGCAGTGGAACAAATTTATAATGCCAAAACAATAGATTGAATTTGGATAAAATAAATTTGAAGCTCACATAGCACACTAAGGTATAAACCCAATAAGACAACAATGGAATTGGGAGTTTGCCTAGTCAAATTGTTTGCTTTCAACCTATACTTTATTTGCTTGACACTGAAGAACAAGAAAGGTCTTCTGGTTCATTCCATTATCCCTGGAAGCTAGTCCATTTCGGATCCACATCTAGAGATCTGCGTCTCCATGTAATTAAAGCAAAGAAGGTGTTAGAGGGTAGGCGGCAGGTTTGGGGGAATACTTTTCAGCTGAGAATGCAGTCTTGGCAAGCTGGATCTTCTGTGGAATGCCTTATCCAGAAAAGCAAAGCCTCTCTAATGTATGAACTGTTCTAGTCTCTTTGGTTCTGATGTGGCTGTAGTAGGCAAGTCTCTTAGGGTCACTGCCTACCTGCAGCAACCACTACCTACACCCTGTGGAGTAGCCATTTTGTTGTACTCCTTATCTTATCTAATTGTCCAGATTACCTTCTTCAAACAAGTACTTTGTTTAGCTGACCCAGTGGTTTTTAAAAGTTGGCACTGAGCCGGGCTCAGCCTGTAATCCCACGCCTTTGGGAGGCTGAGGTGAGTGGATTGCCTGAGCCCGCGGATTCGAGACCCGCCTGGGCAGGCGAGACCTCATCTCTACAATAAATAAAAAAAATCAGCCGGGTGTGGTAGCACATGCCTGTAATTCCGGCTACTTGGAAGGCTGAGGCGGAAGGATCGCCAGAGCCCAGCAGGTCGAGGCTGCGGTGGCCGGGAGCGGCCACTGCACTCCAGTCTGGGCCACAATGAGACTCCAACTCAAAAAAAAAAAAAAAAAAAGTTGGCACTGGAATGCCTTTAAGCAGGCATACACTGTCCAGTTGAGGTCACAAAACTTTCCTTGTTACCTGATTTGATTCATATATTTGGGTTCCTGCCTTGCTTATACAGGCATCCGAGTTTCATTTGAAAATGAAATGGATCTCACAATCTGGAGACGTCTACTACACCTTGTCATAGCACCTTCTGGAATGACACAATTCAGAATGAAATGGGGCAGCTATGGACCCCATTCCAAGGGGCCTGTTTCTAAAAGTAATTTTGCCTTAAAACATACATGTACCTATAAGAACTGCTTTAGACTAGTGTTTGTATGCACATTTGATATAACTTAATGTTTCATATAATTTATATGGCAGAAGCTACTTTCTTACTATTTAACTAAACTGCATTGCTCTTAGGAGACGAACATTTATTAGGGACATAAGTATTAGCAATATCTTACAGATTTTATTTAGTAATCAATAAGACAGCAGCAAAAATAGTTTGAACTTTTTGGTTTACATACTTATGGAATGCAGCCTTTTGTTTATTAATGTGTCTGTATTCCCTGTGAACTGCCACGGGTACTTCTTGACTGTAATTCATCCCTGGTTTTGTCAGTACAGTATTAATTTCTCTTGCTTTGGGAATGGTGCATCTTTTTCTTTCTTTCCTAGCTTCATATTATTTAAAATGGAAAGGCTTAGATATGTTCACTAACATGTTAGGGTAAAATTTTTCTTAGTAGAAATTAAACATTTTTAAAAGAAAGTTTTTTCTACTGAATAATCTGTTTTTATATGTTGTTTCAGTTTCCGTTACTATGGCAATGACGGCAGGGACTACAACTACCTTTCCTATGAGCAACCATACCCGGGAGAGAGTGACTGTAGCCAAGCTCACACTGGAGAATTTTTACAGCAACCTAATTTTACAGCATGAAGAGAGAGAAACCAGGTATATAGTAAGGGCTATATTGTGTTTAGTTAAACTGTTGTATTGCAAGTGGAGGGTAAACTGGTTTTCCACTAGTAATGTGAATATTGTGGATCTCTGCTTCCTGTTTTTACGTTTCTTGTACTGACACTGCACCCAGCTACTTGTTTTATTTTCAGAGAATAGTTTCCTGAGGTACCTAGAGTCTTGTGCACCCATATACTTATATCACACTGCAACTGATGTTTTAAGCAGGCCTTTTGTAACCACAAATTACGGTATCTTTAGACTTTCTTTTAGAAGGATGTTTTATGAAAGGCTGCCTTTAATCCAGAAACATTTTCAGTGTTGTGTGTATTTCAGTGGGAATGGAAGAATAATAAAGAATAAAAAGAATAAAAAATGAATGGCATGTAATTTTGCCTTTAAGAAACTTATAGTAAGGGAGATAACACATGCATATTACATGAAAGAGTGAAGAACATCACTAAGGAGGACAAGAAAGGGAGAGATTGCTTTTGACAACTGGGAAAGCATCATAAATAATAGTGGCTTTTAAACAGGGTTCTAAGGGAAGAGTACTATTTATACATGCATAAAAGGAAGGAGAAAGAGGTAAGAGTGGGAGAAAGGATATTAGAGACAGAAGAAATCACCTTCGGGACAGTTGATGTCCAATTTAGCTGAAGCACAGGATGTGCTAGATTTCAACATCCTGGGAGCCTTGGATCCTTTGTTAATGTAGCTGTTTTCATGGAGTGGAGAGATTTGATATTTGAGCAGAAGAATTAGATGGTCATAAGTGTTTTCTGGAAGAGAACTTGAGCTGTGATACGTAGAATGGTCTGGGGGCAGGGTGAGGAATTAGAAACGATAAGCACTAGTGATGTAGCCAGGCAAAATGGAAAGGAGGCTTGGATTAGGATTGTGACAACAACAATAGGGAAGAACTGACAAGTGAGAAAGACTGACAAAATGTGGCAACTAGCCAAATGTGAAATGTGACAGAAATGAGTCAATATGGGCCATAAAATTTCATGCCTGGGCAAATTGAGAGTGGTACAATTTAAGTGAAATAGGACCAGAGGAGAAGAGTAAGGAGCTGAACCTGAATAGATACAAGTGAGGAGAGAATCAGTGAACTAGAAAATAAGACTTAAGTAATTATTCAGAAATAAATTTAGACAGAGAGAGTGGGGATATGTGAGAGTTAAAAAAGAGGGAATGTGAAGAGCTGACATGTCTCTAATTAAAAGTTTGTGAAGGAAGAGAGGAACAGGAATGGAGCAGAGATGAGCAAAAACTAAGAGTTCACCACCAGCAGAAATTCCAACAGTTTCAATTTAGGCCAAAGGAAAGTGATCACAAATAGAAGATCTAAATGGTAATAGGTGAATAAATCTCAACAAAAGTTCTATAAAATAACAAAAATAATGATAATATCTTCTACATTAAAAAAATAGAATTGAAATATTTTCCTACAGCAGAATATAAGTACAGAGATAAGTAATTGGAATTAAAGAGTTCTTAAAGATCTTTGTAGAAACAGGGTAAAGATTAACTTTAGACTTTGACAAATTATGTTGAATTTCCAGGTTAACCACTAAAATAAAAAAAAAAGTTTGCAACTTCCAAATTAGTAGAAGGAAAAAGTGGAATGAGAAAAAAATTAGTTCAAAAGAAGGCAAGAGAAAAGAAAAACTGAAATACCAGAATAGAAAGCACAAAGTTAGAAATAAATAGAAATATAACATTAATTAATTATAGCTGTAATTAACATCTCTGGAAGTGATCAGATCATCATGAGAGAGTGCATAAAGTAGATGAGAACCAAAGAAAGACAGACTATATTTTTTCAAAAAACAGGCACTTAAAAAGTTCTCAGAACTTTAAAAGTTCATTGTCTTTTCTTGCTGAAACCTTAAAGTAATTCATTTTTTCCCTCTATTTCCAAACAAAAGAAAGTAAGAATAAAATAATCTGCTGTTATTTTTTAAAAAATGCAGTCTCAGCATGGAAACCAAATTTAATAGCTCATATTTTTTAAAAGCTTAGACTTTTAAAAAAATGTATTTTCAAGGCTTAACTATTCAAATAAATGCATACACCTTATAAAGTACTAATCAGAGCAAAGTCAAGAGCATTTTAGGGAGAAGACTATTGCTTTTTAGAAGGTACGAGAGAAGTCATGGATCTTTCTGTTGAGATTGTTAGAAATGGATAAAAATTACTGTATCTCTTCCCAGAGTGAGGGGAGATTTTAGGAAGTGTTAGTCTTGGCAAGACTCGAGACAGCACAAAGGATACTGGTCCTTTACCAGGGTAGGGCCAGTTAGAAACCAAAACTTCACCTTCATGCAGTCTACTTAGGTAGTTAATCCTCACTTGTACCCCACCTCTGTATAGTAAAATAAATAAAATAAAAATTGAAGAAAAGGGGCAGTGAAGGTTTGAGTAAATAAAGAGTAAAGTTGCTTGTATATTGATACTTCCTTCCAGAAGAATGGTCCTCTTTCTTTCTGGGTCCTTTTCATAGAGGAGAAAACTGGAATTCATTCAGCAAGCCGCTCTGAGGTGGGGTATGAAATGGCGGCACAAGTCTGATGCTGGGAGCTTGTCCACTCTAAGGCTTGGGACCCAGGGGAAATAACGGGTGGAAAAGGAAGATAGCGATCAGCGCGATAAGCACCTGCTAGGTGCCTGTGACAGGTGCTGAGGAAGTGTGTGGGCGGAGAATGTGCTATTAGGTCTCATTCTGTCCCTTGAGCTGCTGCTTTATCTACAGACTTTAGATATTTTTGTTACACATTTTCCATAAGAAAGAAAAATACGTGATCTTAATAATGATTTCAGACAAATTGTCATGAATAACAAATACAAAAAAATTTGTAGGATGGTTTCAGTCCGCAACCTTTACTTACACCCATTTGGTTAAATCCTGGAAAGTAACTGTTATTCTGGCACACACCAAAATTAATGAGGGGTTCTCCCAGGCTTGTATTTAGGAAAAACCAACACAATATAAATAAAATGCTAATATTCACTTGGAAATGAGTTTCAAAATGTGTCCTACAACCATTTCTCTAGTTTTAGTTATTTCATCCAACCTGTCCCCTGCCCCAGTTACTTAGCTTAACTGACTTTAAGCGTGCCATTAAAAAAAAAAAAAAAAGAATAACTGAACTTGGCTGTATCTAGAAAAGCAAATGGCAGTTAGTGGCTTTTTTATATGCATATATGACTTTTCAATTCTCAAAGAATTTTAATAGAATAAAATACACTCAATTGCATTGAACATCTTTCCTTGATTGATTTTCCTTAGGAAAATCGAGCTTAGAGTCTAAGTGAGGGACTTAGATGAGGTCATTTAACCAATAAATGTTAGAACCAGGATTCAAACACAGGGATATGCATTCATCTTAAAAAACTGTACTTTTAGTCACTATTGTTTTTTTTAATACTCTGGTATAAACATTGAGAAATATTAATGATTTTGGTGGATTGAACATTAGATAACAGAGTTTTCCATATTAGAACATCAGTCACCTAAACATCATTTAGGCAGGAGAGTGAAGTAAGCTTGAGAAGTAAATTATTCATTTGGCCAGTGTGAGAAAAGGAAACCTGGGTTTATATTTTGAGGAAGAAAACTATTTTAGTGATTATTTTGATCCAACTTGAAAGACTTTTTGTTAGCATAGTAAACTGAAGTGGTTAACTTGAATAAACAACTGTATATTTCTTAAATGGGAATAGTTAGGAATGTATTTAAAATTTAAATGATTTTTTTCTTTTGAAAAGGCAGAAGAAATTAGAAGTGGCCATGGAAGAAGAAGGATTAGCAGATGAAGAGGTAATGTAATTACCTGTAATTACTGTACAAAAGCAACCCCAGTGACTTCTTCATTCAGTGATATCAGATGATTTTTTATAACTTAGATAATGTGGAGTTTATCATCTGAGTATGGGCTTCTTTGTTGCTGTCATGAATATCTTTAGAAGGAGGCAGCGTTGTTTTTTATTCCAAGAACATATATCTAGTGAACATACTCCATAGCATTCTAGGTATGTGGAACAAGAAAGGTAGACTCCAGGAGGACGCAATCATATACTAACTCTTCTCAAGTTTTTTTCTAAGTTTTTTTTTTTAAACCATCCACTTCTTTAGTCTAGTACTACAACCCTAGTTTAAAACTACTGTATATTTCACCTGAAGAATAACTGCTCCCAACTGGTCTCTCTACTTCCCACCCCCAGTTTTTCTTCATAGTGTAACCAGAGTAATCTGTCTAAAAATAGATCTGATCACTCTTATGCTTAATAACCCTTTACTGGCTCCCTCCTGAGTGCTTTCAGAATAGGGCAGGCTCTTTCATATGGGTATACAAGACCCTTCACCAGTTGGCCTCTGCTTCTCTCTCCAACCTCACCTCCTGTCACCTGCCCCCCATGCTAACTAATAGGAATTACTTTAAATACCTCTCTCTTGCCTGTGACCTTTCTACATGCTATTTCTGCTGCTTAGAACTGTTTCTTACATCTACCCAAGTCCTGTTATTCCTCAAGAAGATTTAGGTCTCACTTTAGCCCTTACTTCCACTGGGAAATCTTCCTTAATCTCTCAAGGTACTTCTACATTCTACCATCACTCCTTACTTGTCCCAGTTGTAGCCTTAAAATGCCATCTTCCCAGAGACTGGAAACTCCATAAGGTCTTATTCAGCGTCACATCTCAGAGCTGGCAGAGAGCTAAATTAAATATTTGGTGAATAAATGAACCCTGGATTTTGCCCTCAAGGACTGTAAGATTAGAAAGAGAGATTGTGTGTGTGTGTGTGTGTGTGTGTGTGTGTGTGTGTATAAGTAAAAATATGTATTCATGATAGAATGTGGCAGACTTTGAAACCTCCCTCTCCCAATTCAGAGCATCAGAAAAGGTTTCATGGAAGAGGTAACAATTGATTTGAATTCTAAGGAATGGGTAGAATTTACATTAAAAATAGGAGGTATATACAAAATAATAAATAATATTTGAGCCATGAAGAATACAATAAAGAAAATAGCAAGGTAAGTTGACAGCATGGACTGCAAAGCTAGGCTTAGACTAGTTTACTGAGAAAGGTCTGCTTTATTTTCTGGAAGATAGGGAGAACCCAGATTAATTAGCTCAGTAGTTTCAGTGATCAGGAAAGAGTGTCTCTTTTATTGAAAGAGCAGACCACCAGATGATAAATTTAAATCAAATTGTTATTTAATCTTCCCTGCACTTTCCTAAGACTGTACCTGTATAGTTGCAGTGTTTAAATCAAATAACAAAATATTTTATGATTTATACAAAAGGTAGTTACTTTGTTAATTAGTGGACTCAACCTAGAAAACTCAAATATTTTTACTTTTTTTTTTTTTTTTGAGTTGGAGTCTCACTCTGTCGCCCAGACTAGAGTGCAGTGGCTGCTCCCGGTCACCGCAGCCTCGACCTGCTGGGCTCCGGCGATCCTTCTGCCTTAGTCTTCCAAGTAGCTAGAACTACAGGCGTGCACTACCACGCCTGGCTAATTTTTGATTTATTGTAGAGATGAGGTCTCGCCAAGTTGCCCAGGCGGGTCTCGAACCCGCAAGCTCAGGCAATCCACTCACCTCAGCCACCCAAAGGCTTGGGATTACAGGCTGAGACACCGAGCCCGGCTAATATTTTTACATTTAAAGCTAGTTACTATTATTTACATAAAATTACTACAACACATATTTTAATAGCTCATTCCATTTGTGTTCTTTAAATTTTAGTGAGAAAGGTAATGATTTAAATCTGTATTCCAATTTATAGAGAAAAATAAGGCTAAGCATATCTTTCCTCATTGTTTTCATCAGTATTATAACTTTCTTATAATTAATAACCATCTAATTATAATGTATTAATATACAGTATATTAATACAGAAATTTTTTTTGAAAGCAAGATTTATTGAGAGGACAGAAAAGCTCCCACAGTGGGAGGGGACCCAAAGGGGTTGCCTGATATAGAAATCTTAAACATAAGATCTTAATTTGCAGTACAGGGGGGAGATTACAAAAACAGATGCCCAGGGGTCAGGCAGGTAAACTGGCTAGATTGGTTTCATAATGGCATCTTAGGGTGTATTCTTTTGACCTACATGCAGTTTGCAAACTCAACTCATAAGAATATTTTCCTTTACTTCCACAAAGAAGTAGATTGATAAAGACACACCATTTTTTACATTGCTGTAAGAAAACAAGAGCCCCAGCCTACTTAGACATGTCACCTGGTGACTGGCATCAGTGGTGGATACTAACAAATTAGAGACCATGGCCCATCTAAAGGGGATTGCTACTGTTGGCTCTGTGTTGTCAAGAGAAGCTGGAAATCTGGACTTTTATGTGGGCTCACCTATTTTTTTTCCTTTTTAAATATTGGCAAGTAGCCGGGCTCGGTGGCTCAGCCTGTAATCCTGCACCTTGGGAGGCTGAGGTGAGTGGATTGCCTGAGCCCGTGGGTTTGAGACCCGCCTGGGCAACTTTTTAAGCTTTCTAAATTACTTGTGGAAAATATGAGATGATTTTTTCCCATAAAAGTAGTCAGTGGCCCATAATACCTATTTATAAAACTTCTAAATTTTATCTGTAAAGATCTTGTTATTCTACAAATGCTTACTGTTAGGATTATGTAAAATTTTATAAAATAAACTATCTTGATCAATCATAATATTTGGAACTATCTTTATGTGTGGTGAGGCTTTTACAAAGAAAATTGTTTCATAAAAATTAAATATGCATAAGTGTGGTGGCTCATACTTGTAGTCCCAGCACTTGGGGAGGCCAATACAGGAGGATTGCTTGAGACCAGGAATTTGAGACCAGTCTGGGATACATAGTGAGACCTCATCTGCACAAAAAATAAAATGAAAAAAGTAGCTGAGCATGTGGTAGCATGTGTTAGTAGTCCCAGCTACATGGGAGGCTGAGAAGGAAGCATCACCTGAGCCCAGAAGGTTGAGGCTGCAGTAAGCTGTGAGCTGTCTCTGCACTCCAGCCTGGGTGACAGAGTGAGACCCCGACTCAAAAATAAATCAATAAATAAAATGGATGAGTTGCTAGCTGAACCCTTTCATATCTCAAAACTTTTGTATATGCTGTCTTATGTAAAACCTGGGTACTCTGCAGGTGAAGAGTTTGAGGAACATTGTATAAAAGGGAATAGAGAAAGAAAGGAAACAATTTCTAGTTTAATCTTACTTAAGCAAATCCCATCAAACATGCAATGTTACTAACTCTAGTGGAAAACCAAAATAATAAGTTCAGGCTACAAATGGAGCCATGAAATGTGAAGCCTGTCGCAGGTTTGTGTTCTTTTTTGTATAGGAAAGAGTGTGATTACCACATAGGTGTTTTTTGTCTTTCAAGTCTACTTAATTACTTAATCTGTATGAGTTGTGAGCAGATCGGCTTGCTTTTTCATTGATTTTTTTTTTTTTTTTTTTTGAGTTGGAGTCCCACTCTGTCGCCCAGGCTGGAGTGCAGTGGCACACTCACGGCCACCCCAGCATCAACCTGCTGAGCTCCAGCGATCCTTCCACCTCAGCCTTCCAAATAGCCAGAACTACAGGTGCACACTACCATGCCCTCCTAATTTTTTGATTTTTTATTGTAGAGATGAGATCTTACCAAGTTGCCCAGGCTGTTCTTGAGCCTGTGGGTTTAGGCAATCCCCTCACCTCAGCCTCCCAAAGTGCTGGTATTACAGGCTTGAGCCACTGCACCTGGCTGGTTTTTTGTATTTTCTTTTCTTCTTCAGCTACCTTTGGATTGCAAATCCAAAGTCTTGAAATCATGAAATAGATTTTTAAAACGTAATATAACAATGTTATAGGTGATTCTCATTTTTGTAGAATTATGTGTTCCATACACTTATGATTTTCCCTTTTTGCTGTTAAGTGGCTGTGTCCCAAACTACATAAATAGTTTACTTACTGTGTATTACAACCTACTGTGTATTACAACCTGTCAGATAATTTATAAAACTGTAATGATGTCATTGTTTCCATTCAGATTAGACCAGTTTCTGCAGCTACACCCAGCTATACTCTGTTTTATAATACATAAAGAGAGCGATTCAAAATATCTTTCAAAATTCTTAATTTATTCACTTATGCAGCCAAAAAATCAAATAAAAACCTCTTTACTACCTTGAAGGACATTATACTATAGTGCCACCAAGTGGCCTTTTAAAAAACTAGTCTTAAAATTTAAAATAAGCTACTTTGTGAGGACTATCTTGTTTTACTAGTAATTCAGGTTTTAAAAAATTATTATTCAAAAGATATTTTTGAATATCTATTACATACAAAAATGGTATTTGTCATTGCATCTGTGTAAAAAGCAAAAAAATCTTTACTATTGCTTTAAGATACATATTTGTAAGTGTATAAATGTAATTTTAGCTCCATTAAACAGATATTTGAAAAAGAAAAATCACCCTAATTTCATAATTAGAGAAGTCTATTTTTTAAACTAATAGACACCAGATCTGGATAGCTTTTAGGCAAATAGAATAATGGTTATTATATCTTTATTATAGTCACTTACTTTCTCCTTAAGCCTGACTTCTCACCAAAAAAAATTTTTTTTCCCTCTTTCATTATTGCCTCCTTACTTTTCCCATAGTACTTTTGTATTTTATAATCAATATCAGATGCATAAAAAGACATTCGGTAAAGCTTCTTCATTTGTATATTTGATTTTTGTCTTCATACTGTCGTATTTACACTATTTATGTGTTGAATGTACAGCTTCATTTAGCTATTTGAAGACATAGTTTCTTGATTTCATCCTCTTAGATTAACTGTTAGAAGTATCAGATTCCATTGCATTGATGATACAAACATACATTTCTAATTAATAGTTCGCCTGACCCCTCCCCCCCTTTTTTTTTAGTTAAGAGTCTCACTCTGTTGCCCAGGCTGGAGTACAGTGGCACAGTCACGGCCACTGCAGCCTCGACCTGCTGGATTCAGACAATCCTTATGCCTCAGCCTTCCAAATAGCTGGAACTACAGGTGTGCGCCACCCATGTCCAGCTAATTTTTTGATTTATTGTAGAGATAAATTTCCCTGTGTTGCCCAGGCTAGTCTCAAACTCCTGAGCTCAAGCAATCTCCCCGCCTCCTTTTTAAAACAGATATACACAGGTGTAGGGAGGGACTATACCTTGAGCTATATTTCAAAGCAATGTTTCTGAGCTGCTGTGGTCATTTTATTTTATTTATATATTTTTTTAGTTGGAGTCTCACTTTGTCACCCAGACTGGAGTGCAGTGGCCACTCCCGGCCACCGCAGCCTCAACCTGCTGGGCTCCAGCGATCCTTCTACCTCAGCTTTCTGAGTAGCTGGAACTACAGGCACGGGATACCATACCTGGCTAATTTTTGATTTATTGTAGAGATGAGGTCTCGCCAAGTTGCCCAGGCGGGTCTCAAACCCACGGGCTCAGGCAATCCACTCACCTCAGCCTCTCAAAGGCGCAGGATTACAGGCTGAGCCACTGAGCCCGGCTGGTCATTTTATTTTTATTCATTCATTCAGAGTCTCACTCTGTCGCCCAGTCTGGAGTGCACGCTCCCAGCCACCACAGTCTTGACCTGTTGGGCTCAGGCAATCCTTCCACCTCAGCCTTCCAAGTAACTGGAACTATAGGCACACACCACCACGCCTAGCTAATTTTTTGTTTTATTATAGAGATGAGGTCTTGCCAGGTTGCCCGGGCTGGTCTCGAACTCGTGAGCTCAGGCAATCTTCTCACCTCGAACTCCAAAAATGCTGGGATTATTGGCATGAGCCACCGTGCCTGGCCTGGTCATTTTAACTTGTCTTTCCCTTTGAATTGAACCACTGAAAGCTTAATAGCATTCAGTTGAAGATGAACAGGAGTTTTTTGTTTTTTTTTATTCACTGATCTTAATTTTCACTGTGTTACCTCTACTAGGAGCTAACTGTCAAAAATCAGAATTTTCTCTTGGTGAGGAGAAAAAATGAGGTTTAGGACAGTTCAATAAATGCCTGTTACACATGTACTCTTCAGATATTTCGCATTGTTGTTTATTAATGGTAGTTTTTTTGTGATCTTTGTAGAATCAATTATGAAATTACTGAGTTGGATATTTTAATGAGACTTCTTGTGATTTTTTCACAATTTTATATTTTCAAAAGGTTGTATGCCAAGCCTCAAGCAGTTTATTAAATTTTGTCCAAGAGTAAATCCTGTCTGAAGGAAATCGTTATGGAAATGTGACTATTGTGTTATTTTGTTGCACAAATCTCAGTAGTTGTGAGTGAACCACTGTGAAAATTAGGGAATCAAAGTAAAGCAGATTTCCTGGCAGTGAAGATCAATATCAGAATATTAACAGTTCCTAAAGCTTAATTTTTATTTATGGAATTAAGTTAGCATATTGATGAGTGAATAAATTATGTATATTGTATTTATATACATTTTATATATAACCTTATGTTATCTTTGTCTTTATGTCCAAATATAAATATGATGGACTAGTTAAGGTGAAATATTTCATGGAATCCACCTCAAGAGTAAAGATGTATCACTTGCTACAAATTTTTTTACAATTTTAAAATTTTACTCTTTCTATACTTAATAAGCTCTTGACTTTGGTAAATGATAGCACTGGTATATAATATTTAACATATCTAACCCCTATTTTTATGTGTATCATCTTTTAATAACTGTAAGCTCCTTTGGATTATAAAATTGTCCTTTTAAATGATCTTTTTTTAATAGAAAAAGTTACGCCGATCACAACATGCTCGCAAAGAAACAGAGTTCTTACGGCTCAAGAGGACCAGACTTGGCTTGGATGACTTTGAGTCTCTGAAGGTTATAGGAAGAGGAGCTTTCGGAGAGGTGTGCTGCTTTTCTAAAGTCACCAGCTGAAAATATATATCTTAATTCATTTGCAACTGCTGACATGAATTTACGTCTTTCCAAATTCTGTTTCTGGTTGCTACTGAAGTGAATTTACCTCATCGTGGAAGACTGTCTTTTCAGGTTTATAATCCAAATAAAAATACAAAGTACAGAATGCTTATCAGAGTAGTGTCTGAGGCAAATACTGGATTTGTCTGCAACTTTCAGCTGTATTGTAAAAAAGGTGACAGTTTAGAAAAGACCATTTTACTTGTGCTTAACAACAGAAGTTTGCAGCAACCAGCTTCAGATTTTTTTTTTACCCGCTCTCAGTATTAGGAAAGTAAAAAATTTGCCATTTGCAAATGAGTTAAGGTAGTTCGAAATATTATTAAAATATAATTCCTGAAATACCAACAATGGCAAATCCCAGCTTTCTTTAAGGGAGATTGCCTTTCATTCCTGAATAAGTAGTAGTGACTGTTTAACATTTATATTCTAGGTGCGGCTGGTCCAGAAGAAAGATACAGGCCATATCTATGCAATGAAGATATTGAGAAAGGCTGATATGCTTGAAAAAGAGCAGGTATGGGTTCTTTAACACATATAACATTCCACTAGGTGTCAGAGTATTTGTACTGCAATTTTAAAAAAAGAAATGGACATATCCTACTATATAATCTTATTGATTCTTTGATAGCCTGTTTTTAGTGTTTCCCATTTCTTTTCTTTTTTTTTCTGAAGTGAGAAAGCAGGATTTATTGAGAGGACAGAAAAGCTCCCTCAGTGGGAGAGGACCCAAAGGGGTTGTCTGTTTTTCATTTCTTATATTTAAAATTTCTTCCAAATATATAACCTGCGTATTAGTCTGCTCAGACTGCCACAATAGTACCATAGGTTGGGTGGCTTAAGCAACAGAGAGTTATTTTCTCACATCTTGGCTAGAAGTCCAAGATGAAGGTTCTGGCAGGTTTCTGTTTCTGGTGAGGGCTCTCTTTCTGACTTGCAAACGGCCACCTTCTCATTAATTCCTCACATGGCCTTTTCTTGGTGCCTGCAGGAAAGAGAGGAGAGCATACATGCTCATGTAAGAACCCTCTTGTGACTTTTCTCATAAGGACACTAATTTTACCCTTATGGTCTCATTTAACCTTAATTGCTTCCTTAGAGGCTCCATATCCAAATACAGCCCCACTGGGGATTGAGACTTCACCATATGAATTTTGGGGAGACCCAAGCATTCAGTCCATAACAAAATAGCTTCTGAAATACCTCTTTTTCTGACTGTAATGAAAATAAAGGACAGTTCTCAGCACCCTCAATCTCTAGCACATATCAAAAGTCAAACTACTCTTCTGATAATTTGCTAATTTTATGTATTTTCAAAATCTGTAACTATTCTTTTTTGTATGCTACGCTTTGTCCATGTTTCCTATGACTTATTGCAGTTCCATGGTGTGACCATGTCAGAAAACATTGATAGTATTATTTTATGTATTCACTTGTGTTTCCAGGCTGGGTGGACACTCTGTAGGACCCTAAACTGCATATGGGATTTATTGAAGTACTTATCAGCAGGGTATAGAGGGAGATGATACCTCCTGTTCCTTATGCTTTGTGTTTTAGCCCCCATCCAAAGCTTACTTTGTTACTACAGCAATATAATTCTGATTTTTATTTAACTATGACCCTCTTGGATTTTCACTGCATTATTTTGTTATTTCATTCATTCAGCAAGTATTTATTGGGTGCCTGTGGTGCAGCAAGAATTGTGGGTTCTGGGAATACAGTGATTGATGAGGCACACCTGATCCTTGTACTTTTGCAATAGTGGAGCAAAAGGACAGACAGCTACATCAAATCGTCATGATTGATAAGTACTATGAAGAAGTTTTTCTTTAAGCGATAAGTGATGGCATATGATTGGGTTAGGGAGGAAGAATTCGATCAAGGAATGTTGGTCTGAGGAGGGAATATTTGATGAGAGACTGAATGATGAAAAATAATAACATATGGGTATAAGAATCTGGTAGAACAAGGGTCTGGGTGTCAAATTCAGAGGCCTTGAGGCCAAGAAACCATGATGGTTAGGATGAAGTGAAGGGAAGAGTGATTAGAGATGAAGTGGGAGAGGTAAGCAGCACCAGATCACAGAGGGCTTTGAAGACCATGATCAGGAATTTGGATTTTATTCCAAGTGCAGTGGGAAGACATTGGAGGTGTTTGGTTTTGTTTAAACAGGACTGGCATCTCTGTTCTAAGTTTTATGAAGATGAATCAATCCCTTTGCTTACTTGCAGGAAAAGTAAGAGTTTAGGGAGACCAGTTGAGAGAGTATGTATCACTCCCAGCCAGGATGTAATTGTGGCCTACACTCTGGTTAAGACAGTACAGTTGAAGAAAAGTTTAATAGTTAAGTATACGTTTTGAAGGAAGATTCAGCAGGATTTGCCCTGATGGACTGTTGGAGGAGTGAGAGGATGGATAAGAGTAGTGAGGGAAAGGGATGAGTCAAGGTGAAATTGCCTAGGGATCAGTAAGGATAGAGAAGAGGGCCTGGATCTGAGCCCCAGGGAGCACCAAGCAGAGGAGGAGCCAGCAAAGCTGGTCGGGAAAGAACAGTGTATCAGGGGAAGCTAGAAGAATGTGATGTCATGGAAGCCAAGAGAAGACAGTGTTTAAAGGAAGAGGTGAATAGTCAACTGTGTTGAATGCTGCTGAGAGAGAGAGCAAGAGGAGAACAGACCGTGAATTTCATAACATTAGTAACAGCAAGAACAGTTACCATGGATTGGGAGACAGAAGTCTAATTGAAATAGTGGAAAAGAGAATGGGAAGAAGCAAGAAGTGGAGATAAATCTTTCTTGTTTTTGTTTTTTGAGTTGGGGTCTGTGTCACTCAGGCTGGAATGCAGTGGTTCACCACAGCCTCGACCTCCTGGATTCAAATGATCCTCCTACCTCAGCCTCTTAAGCTAGGACCACAGGTGTGCACCACCACATTGGGCTTTTTTTTTTTTTTTTTTTTAGAGATGAGGTTTCGCCATGTTGCCTAGGCTGGTCTTGAATTTCTGGGTGCAAGCAGTCCTCTCGCCTTAGCCTCCCAAAGTGCTAGGGTTACAGCTATGAGCCACTGTGCCCAGCCTAGATTATCTTTCACATGAAGCAGAACAAAGAATAGATTGGTAAGCGATATTTAGGATTAAAAGTGTTAGTGGTGATGAGAAAAAGTCAAGATGCAGGAGAGAGGTTATTACAGGACTGTACTGGAAGACACAAGAGCCAGGGGTGGCTTGTCAGCGGTTGGAGCGAGAAGTTGTGAAATAGTCATCTTGAAGTGTGGGGAAGCAGACATGCTAGGGAAAGATAGTTGAATGAATGCTCACTGAGATTGGTAAATATGAATTTAAGGGGAAACCAGTTGCTACAGTTGGGTGGTTTTTCTCTCATATCCCTTAGTTGCTCAGGGGCAGGTACAGAATAGACATTTGGGTTTAATAAGGGCAGGTGTATTTCTAGGCAAATACAGTGGAGGGAGAGAAGGATGAGGGAGTTTGAGTCATTTGAAAATTGTGATCATAATGATGGAATCTAGGCTAGATAGAAAAAGAAATAAGGTTATGAGGAGTGTAACAGAAAAAGTAGTAGGACTCGTGGAATGGAGATGGAGGTACCAGAATAAGATACCTGGGAAGATAAAGACTTGGAGGTCAGAAATAGAGTTCCTTAAAACCGAGGTTTTTAGAGGGGGGCACAATTATTGGTCATGAGAAGGAAAAGAATATTACCATGGGTGGCTGAGGCGTAGTAGAGGAAAAGATCATGGGGTGAGGAAGAGGTTAAGGAACTGTATAGATAGGGTATTTGATGGTTCCTCCTATGACTGCTGAAATTCATCCATGGGTGGAAAGAAAGATGGTAAGCCACAAATCGAAGTCATGAAAGAGTGAGGGGTTTTATCAGTTTGGTAAATGACAGCTATAAGGAAGGGTGACGGCTGATGTAGTCTCACAGCATGAAGGAAGGTGTCAAAATGACTCAGAAGCAGCCATGAGAATGAGGAGGAAACCCACCTCCTCACCAGGCAAAATATGAGAGAAGAGCAGGCTGTTCTTGAAAAGGCTTCAGGAAGACAGAACCCTCAGTCAAGGAGTAAGAGGGAGGATGGCTTTGAGGCTTAAGGAGAGAGGAGTTGTTATCCTCAGGTGGGGGAAGTAGAACTGCTAGGGAAATGCAGTTGAACACTCATTGAGACTTGTAGTCATGAATTTAAAGTGAAACCAGTTGGTATAGTTGGGCAATTTTCACCCTGTTTTCAGTTAAGTTGAGGTGATAGGAACCATCCAGAGATGAGGTTCTAGGGGACATTGTTGAGTACAAGCTATGCTTCTCCATGGGGAAGAGGTTTGGAAAGCAAGGAAAGATGAGATAACTTGGCTTAGAAAATTATGAATAATGATGGGATCAGGGTCTGGGTAAAGATGTATAGCCTCCGAGACAAGGGGGTAACTAGGAATCTAACTTAGGCATAATGGGATTAATCCTAGGTAGAGTTTTAGAGGAAAGACAAAAGACAGCAGTTCAAGCTGTAGTCCAGCTACTAGCCACATGTGGCTAGTGGGCATGTGAAATGTAGCTAGTCTAAATTGAGATATTTTATAAATGTAAAATACCCACAAATGAAGACTCGGTGCAAAAAAAAGTGTAAAATATTTTAATAAATTTTATATTGATTACATATTGGAATGATAATATTTAGATATATTGGTATATTGGATTACATAAACTATATATGAAAATTAATTCCACCTGGTTTTTTGTGTTTTTTTTTTACTTTTTATGTGACTACTAGAAAATTTTAAATTACTTATGTGGCTTGCATTACGTCTGTATTGGACAGCCCTGGTCTAGAATGTTTTGCCAGAAGTTGAAGAGCCTCTGGACCACTGCTCTTTCCTGTAGGGGGGCAATCTCACTGGAGCCCAGCATCCAGTCGGTTTTGCATTTGAGGATTATTCCCCCTCCCCCACATAAATTAATCTGTATTTGTCACCACTAAATTTTGTTTCAGAAAACCTTTTCCTATGCAATATCAGTATTTTAAGTTTTATCACACTTTAACGTTAGACACCCCACAAAATTAAGTAGTAACTGATCTCCCCACTATTGTGGTACCAGATTACCATGTCATACTTTCCTGTGTATATCCTGTAATCTGGCTTTGAGATATTAAAGAATAACCGAGCCAAGTTTATGATGTAGTTGTTTTTCCTGACAATACCAAATACAACACCAAAAGCTTAGGGCTTTTCCTCTGCCACCTTAAATTGCTTTGTAAAAGGCAAGAGGAAAAGTTTTTTGCTGTCATTCTTTACTTGATGAAACAGATCCAGAGGAATTTTAATGTATTTTGATGCTCAAAAACAAGTTCCTAATCACCATCTCTTGTGCTTTGATCTGCGTATTTACTGTACCAAGCAAGACTATAGTTACCCCAAATATGATGTTTTAAGCAGATATTTTATTATCATGAAAATGTTAACAAATACATGTTCTCACGTGTTTTGGGCCAGAGTTCATAATGGTGCACACTGAAAATAACAAATAAAAACTTATTATTAATCTTTGAAGAAAAAGTGTATAAATATACAAGTATTAATGCAAAGCATCTGAATACTGACCAGTTACATGAACTGCATAAATTTTCCAGTTTGCAACATTTTCACATAATAATCCCCCTAATAATTAAATGTCTGATGAATGGGTAGCAAAATCCCAAAAGTCAGATGAATTTGCTGTAGCTAATGCTTGTAGATATTATAAAGGTTTTATATTATAACGATAACTTAATATTGTTATTATAAGTAACTTAAATTGTTATTATAAATGTTTCTACTGACAACCAAATAAAGATCAAGCTGACCCCATTGTTTAACGTTAAAAATAGTTGGCTATTTTTAGTATACCTTGGTTATGTCATACCAACCTACAGGGCATTGCTTACTGATTTTAGAAGTCAGACTGGTGCCCTAAATTTATATGACAAAGCCTTGGCTGGGTAGAGATTCTGGTTACCTAGATTAGATTCTCTGTCTCAAAGACCTTGGCTTCCCATAATATGCCTGTTGATCTCACCTTTTCAGGCCTAAAGATATAAGCTAAAATAAACTATTTCCTGAAGTTCTTCATATTTAATGAGAATATGAACATGCATATATATATACTGCAAATATTTTCTAAAACGCTATCTTTCCTTTGTTACTGTTATGGATGGGTAAGTGTAAGAGATATCTTGATGAGTGTGTAATGTGTTACAATTATTTTTAAAAATATGTTCATCTAGGTGGCCCATATCCGAGCAGAAAGAGATATTTTGGTAGAAGCAGATGGTGCCTGGGTGGTGAAGATGTTTTATAGTTTTCAGGATAAGAGGAACCTTTATCTAATCATGGAATTTCTCCCTGGAGGTAAAAGCAAACATTGTATCAATGACAACTGGCACAAGCATATCTTTATATGTAATAATGATTTTACTGATCAGGTTTACTTATATATATATTCCTAGCTCTGAGGTTTGACAAAGACAGTTTCCAAATATTTACTTCCAAAATAATGCTCATTTGACCACATACCAGCTTATTTTGAAGGAATGATAAAGTTGGCACATTTTTTTCTTTTTTGAGTTGGAGTCTCACTCTTGTCTCCCAGGCTGGAATGCAGTGGCACAATCATGGCCACTGCAACCTCGACCTGCTGGGCTTAGGAGATCCTTCCACCTTAGCTTTCCAAGTAACTGGAACTACAGATGCAAGCCACCATGCCCGGCTTGTTTTTGTGATTTATTGTAGAGAGGAGGTCTCACCAAGTTGCCCAGACTGGTCTCGAACCCTCAGGCTCAGGCAATCCTCTTGCCTCAGCCTTCTAAAGTGCTGGGATTACAAGATGAGCCACAGTGCCCAGCCAAGTTGGCACATTTTAATACTACCATTCTGAGTTCACTGTTTATAATTAGATTGTTATTAGTATGGAATTAAGAAAAATAAGTCACTAAAGAAAAAGACAACCAACCCAGCTGGGCACGGTGGCTCAGGCCTATAATCTCAGCACTCTGGGAGGCCAAGGTGAGAGGATTGCCTAAGCTCAGGAGTTCAAGACCAGCGTGGGTGACTTGGTGAGACTTCATCTCTACAATAAGTCAAAAAATTAGCCAGGCGTGGTAGCACACACCTGTAGTTCCAGCTACTTGGAAGGCTGAGACAGAAGGGATCATCTGAGCCTAGTAGGTCGAGGCTGTGGTGGCTGTGCCCCTGCACTCTAGCTGGGCAACAGAGTGAGATTCCAATGGAAAAAAAAAAAGAAAAAGAAAAAGACAACCCAGTGGCCAAGTGATAGACAATGTACAGAAGAGAAACTCTGGCTAGTTTATAATATATAGGAAGATGTTCAACATCACCAATATTCAGGGAAATGCAAATTAAAACAAGTAGATACGATTTCACATTCATCAGATTAGTAAAATCATTTAAAGTCTGATGATTCTAAGTGTTGGTGAGGCTGTAGGGGAAGTTGGTCTCTTGTAAGTTGATCTCTAACTTGTATGGAGAGCAATTTACAGCTATCTTATGAAGCTGAAGATGCAAATGTCCTATGATTCAGCACTTCTATACCAGCTGCATTCCTAGAGAATCTCCCCTACATGTGCACAAGAGACCTATAACCGCATGTTCATTGCAGCATTGTCACAATAACGAAAAACTGTAAGATAAATGCCCATCAGTAGAAGAATGGATAAATACGGCTTAATTATATGATGAGATATTTTACGGTAGTTAAAAGTGACACGCTATATCTGGTTCAACAGTTAGATCTCAGAGTGGAGTGAATAAGGCAAGCTGTAGAATTATGTACACAATTTGAGACCACTTATGTAATTCTTCAGAAACACAAAAGACTGTAAATCCATTTATTTATACGTATATATGAAAGCATATGTTTAAGCCGGGCTCCGTGGCTCAGCCTGTAATTCTGCGCCTTTGGGAGGCTGAGGTGAGTGGATTCCCTGAGCCCGCGGGTTTGAGACCCGCCTGGGCAGCGAGAGACCTCATCTCTACAATAAATCAAAAAAGTAGCCGGGTGTGGTAGCGCGCGCCTGTAGTTCCAGCTACTTCGAAGGCTGAGGCAGAAGGATTGCTGGAGCGCAGCAGGTCGAGGCTGCAGTGGCCGGGAGTGGCCACTGCACTCCAGTCTGGGTGACAGAGTGAGACTCCAACTCAAAAAAAAAAAAAAAAGATTTGTTGCTCAGTAAAGAGGGAAAGAAAAATAGAATGGGAGGACAGAGAATGCTTCTGTTATTTTTTTTTAAGACTCAAAGCACATATGAAAAAATTTCATCAGTTGTCAGTTTTGTGTTGTAAGTGCACCAGTGTTTACAGTAATTAAAACTACTTATTATTTTTCCATTTTTAAATTCCTTGAAAATAAAAGAATGTCTGGAGATGCCTCTTTTAGTGGGATGATGTCCAATTTGTGTTGGGCTAAGGAGCTCAGAATGTTTTTGAAACTCTAAAGGAATATATCTGGTTTCCAGGTGCATGGTGGATAGTACTTCATTACCAGTTCTGTTCCGATTTGATTTCACATATACTCTACCTTAAAACAATTAAATGTCACTTAACATTTGCATATGCAGTGATGCTGTTTTTTTGTCCCCAGAGATGGTTAGAATTATACTAGGTGGATCGTAAAATGCAAAATTAGTCATGTGCTGTATAGACACAAAGAAAGCTTTTACAAGGTATTCCCCCTTTGAGGCATTTTCAATAACATGGTACTTACTTTCCTTTATTTAGGTGACATGATGACATTGCTAATGAAGAAAGACACCTTGACAGAAGAGGAAACACAGTTTTACATTTCAGAGACTGTTTTGGCAATAGATGCAATTCATCAGTTGGGGTTCATCCATCGGGACATTAAGCCAGACAACCTTTTATTAGATGCCAAGGCATGTGAATAAACTGGTGGATTATTAGGTTGCTGATAATTTTGTAGAGTAATAGAGCTGATTTTGTGATTGGAAATGGGCAACTGCAATTTAGATTATTGCTAAACATTATTTCATAGACTTACTAGGATAGGACTCTGGAATGAAATGACATCGACATCAGGGAATATAATATGGCTATTTTCTACTTTTAAAAACGTGATCATCAAACATTTATAATTTTACGTTTTTACTTGTATGACTTTCAAGCTAAGAATCTTTATAATAATTGCATTTAAGAGAGTTTATAGGCTGGGCTTGGTGGCTCAGCCTGTAATCCCGCGCCTTGGGAGGCTGAGGTGAGTGGATTGCCTGAGCCCGCGAGTTCGAGACCCGCCTGGGCAACTTGGTGAGACCTCATCTCTACAATAAATCAAAAAATTAACCGGGTGTGGCAGCGCACGCCTGTAGTTCCAGCTACTTGGAAGGCTGAGGCGGAAGGATCTCCGGAGCCCCAGCAGGTCGAGGCTGCGGTGGCCGGGAGCGGCCACTGCACTCCAGTCTGGGCAACAGAGTGAGACTTCAACTCAAGAAAAAAAAAAGAGCTTATAATAAGGCTTTTTTGTTCTCAAAGTCAATATAAATTCCTGATTTTACTGGTATTTTTCTTAGGGTCATGTAAAATTATCTGATTTTGGTTTATGCACGGGATTAAAGAAAGCTCACAGGACTGAATTCTACAGAAATCTCACACACAACCCACCAAGTGACTTCTGTAAGTTTGATATTTTTTCCTCTGGTTAAGAAATTATAGCTGATTTAATTCAATACTGTTAAGAACTGGAGGTTCTCTACCTTCCTCTCTCCACTCCTTAAACCCATGTGTTTTAGATGTATATGTGTGATTTTGTTTTTTGATGAGTTCCTCCCTCATGATTAACATTCCATGTTGTTGTAATTAGCATTTCAGAACATGAATTCAAAGAGGAAGGCAGAAACTTGGAAGAAGAACAGGAGACAATTGGTGAGTCAACCATGTTTTTAAGAAAGAATTTTGTGTTCTGGTCCTAAAGTCTTACCTAGTTTTATCTTAACTACTTTGGGTCTTCACAATGATTAGTATTTTCTTTGTAGCAACGATTGTGCTTGTTCTGGGATTACACCGTGTTCTTAGTTTCTTTGTAAAGTTTTCTTGCCTATAAAGCAAACAGTTGACTTTTATTTTGTGATTTAACTTGAGAGTACTTTATTGAGCATCCCTATAAATAAGTAATCTGTTTACCAGAACTTAGCACTTTAAGTAAAACTCATTGAAACAGGTGTGACTGCAATGAATGCCTTGTGATTTCCATTTTCCCATTTTCCATACCTGTGAACAACAGATATCCTGATACAACAAATATCAACGAGCAAGTAAAGTGGTTGTAAGTTTCTAAGAACTTCTTTATTCCCAAAACAGGAAGTTTGGGATTTAAACAATGTTACAATAAAATAGATAAAATAAAATTTAAAACTGACACAGATAAATGCAATTATTCCCGTAATGTAGTATTACACTGTTTGTAACTCCATTCCACTTCCCCTCTATTAAGACCAAGCAAACAGAAGAATGGCTTCTTTCCTTCTTTCCCTTTGTCCTGTTAACAAGGTCAATGAACATTCTTAAGGTTAGGAATGTGCCTTTTTAACCTCATTTTCCTAATTTATGTATACAGTGCCTGGCCCATATAAATACTCTATAAATATTTGTTCAATTCATCCAAATGATAAAAGAGAGACTAATTCAGCATTCCCTCAGGAAAGTAAATAGACTGAAAAAAATAGTCTAATACCCTTTAAAACCAAGTCAAATGACCTTTGCATTATTGAGCTTATTCTCTTATTAACCCAAGTAATTGCAAAACTCTATGCTTTTAAAACATTTCATTGTTTTTAAAATGTATTGAGCTGTGCATTGAGAAAAACTTCATTCTACTGTCAAATGTGTCACTTTTAGGTCACATTTTACAATTGACAAAAGAACTGCAGACAGAATTCCCTATTCTTAAGTGGGATGAAAAGGAATACTGCTAAAAAATATTTTTCTTTATCCCTATTTACAGACTATTCACAGGTGCTTACTTAGGTGTGTGTTTTCCTGTTCTCATGGCCAATAGTCACATGGTCAGTGTTTCCCAAGAGAGAAGTAGAGGGAACGCTGTTGATATTTGGGACAGGAAATTTCCTTAGTCCCTGGTTCCCTGCCCCTCAAAAAGCCAGTCATATCCTTCCCCAAGTCATTGAGATGACACAGTCCGTGGTCACACATTTCCAAATGGTTCCAAATAACCTTAGGTGAGAACCACTGCATTAAAGAAGCAATTCTTGTAAGATTTTATATAAGGCTGGACTTGGTGGCTCAGCCTGTAATCCCAGCACTTTGGGAGGTTGAGGCGAGTGGATTGCCTGAGTGGGTTCAAGACCAGCCTGGGCAACTTGGCAAGACCTCGTCTCTACAATAAATCAAACAAATTAGCCGGGTGTGGTACCATGCACCTGTAGTTCCAGCTACTTGGAAGGCTGAGGTAGAAGGATCACCGGCGCCCAGCAGGTTGCTGCTGAGGTGGCTGTGAGTGTGCCACTGTACTCCAGCCTGGGTGACAGAGTGAGACTCCAACTCACACACACAAAAAAGATTTTATATGAATTAAGGATGCATAAGAACTTCCTAACTTCCTAATGGGTAAGCAAAGCCCTGGAATTGTTTATAATGAAAATACCTGATACTTATGTAGTAGTCTGTGGTTTACAAAGCACATTCCTTTCATTGGTTCATTCTCAGCTCTGTGAGGGCAGATGTTATTACTCCAATTTCCTGTAAGCACAAGCTGAGGCTCAGAGAGGCTGGATAACTTGCCCAAGAACACATTTGTAGTAAGTGGACAAGCCAGGCCTATTAGGTTGGACCTTTTCATTTTGGGGGGCTACATATATAAATAAATTAGTTGAGCTTCTCAGGGGCAGAAGCCATGTATTCTATGAATCCTGTGACTTCCTATGCTTTTTTTCAGTGGGAAACCATACTCAGATATATATATTTTTAATGTTGAGAATGCTGGTTGATGAGCTTCTCCTTTATAGGCATATTCCACAGTTGGGACGCCAGATTACATTGCTCCAGAAGTCTTCATGCAGACTGGTTACAACAAATTGTGTGACTGGTGGTCTTTGGGAGTGATTATGTATGAAATGCTAATAGGTATGTTTTGTCATTCATTTAAGTGCATGATATATACATTTCCTTGAGTGCCACTGTTTGAAGATATTACAGATATCATGGGTTAAAATATCCTCTTTGAAACTAATTTCTGATGCCCCCCCCCACCCCATGTTAAATACTTACTGATACATACCAATGAGCTCTCCAGGGATCCAGAGTCAGAAGGGGAAATATTTAACCCAGACTCCCATGTATCAAAATCTGCATGACCATTCAGGTAAAATGCAGGGGTGGGGAGGCAGTACTTTAAACCTTTACTTTATTGACATTATTAGCGATTTTATTGCCAACTGATGAATGGTGGAATTTTTTTACTGTTAAATAAAGTATTCAGGGTTGTTTTATTTCTTGTGGCACATATTTAGTATGTATTGTAGAACTTCACTGATCACAAAGCTGATAAAACTTTTTCGGTTTCCTTGATACATAGGATATCCACCATTTTGCTCTGAAACACCTCAAGAAACATACAGAAAAGTGATGAACTGGAAAGAAACTCTAGTATTTCCTCCAGAGGTACCTATATCTGAGAAGGCCAAGGACTTAATTCTCAGGTTAGTGGTTAAATTCCTAAAGGAATTCACAGTGTCTTAAAACTTCCCAAGTACCTATAAAAGACCCATTTCACTTTTTTAGGGAAAGAAGGAATACTACTGGTCTATACAGTAAGTCCCCTACATACGAATGAGTTCTGTTCTGAGAATGCGTTCATTAAGTTCAACAAAGTTAGCCGAGATATCCAATTAATATGATCGGCTATATAGTACTGTAGTATAATAGGTTTATAATACTTTTTACCCATAAAAACAAACAGTACTGTACTGTAAAGTACGCAAAAGCACAAGCACTTATAGAGGATGCATGCATGTGACAAGGTATGCCAGACACGTGAACTAACTTATGTGACTGGACATGCGCATGCACATTCACATCTTTGAAAAACTCGCAACTTGAAGGTTTGTATGTAGAAGACTTACTGGACAAAGAGATCAGTGAAGAAAAGGTGTTTTTTAAAAAGTAAATTCTTAGGCTGGGCTTGGTGGCTCAGTCTGTAATCCCAGCAATTTGGGAGGCTGAGGCGAGTAGATTGCCTGGGTCTGTGGGTTCAAGACCAGCCCGGGCAACTTGGCTAGACCTCATCTCTACAATAAATAAAAAATTTGCTAGGCATGGTAGTGTGTGCCTGTGGTTCCAGCTACTTGGAAGGCTGAGGTGAAAGGATCAACGGAGCCCAGCAGGTTGACCCTGGGGTGGTCATGAGTGTGCCACTAAACTCCAGCCTGGGCGACAGAGTGAGACTCCAATTTTTAAAAAAAAGGAAATTCTTAAAAGGAAGATTACAGAAAAAAAGTAGGAGTTAAGAAGTGGGAAGAAGTCTTGTGTTCAGCTACTGATATATCTATAAAAGCAGAAGTCACTCCTGTTAGATGCAATGACCTGATCCCATTAAAGCAAAAGGGCAACTTGGCGAGACCTCATCTCTACAATAAATCAAAAATTAGCCAGGCGTGGTAGTGCGCGCCTGTAATTCTGGCTACTTGGAAGACTGAGGCGGAAGGATCACCGGAGCCCAGCAGGTCAAGGCTGCGGTGGCCGGGAGCGGCCACTGCACTCCAGTCTGGGCGACAGAGTGAGACTCCGACTCAAAAAATAAAAAAATAAAAAACAAAGCAAAAGGGAAAATGTTAGTAGAGGAAATTCATTTCATGAAAGTCTATATGTGAAATCTTCTAAGCCAAAGATTCCATTCTGCTCCTCAACTAAGATTAAGCAGTTGGTACTGTTGTGAAGGGCTGGAAAGAATATAAATGGGGACAACCTGTGGGAACAAGTCAATTGGCGGCTTATTGTTTTTTAAAATCCCTAAACTGTACAGTATATGGCCTTTGACCCAGCAATTCTACTTCTGGGAATTTTGACCATGCAGATAGTCAGATCTGTATGTAAATATTTAAGTACAATATGTTCATCATGATATTCTTCTTCTTATTATTATTATTACTAATTTTGAGAAGTAGTCTCACTTGTCACCCAGGCTGGAGTGCAGTGGCACACACTCAACGGCCACTGCAGCCTCAACCTGCTGGGCTTGGGCAATCCTTCTGCTTCAGGTTTCCAAGTAGCTGGAACTACAGGTGTGTGCTACCACTCCCAGCTAATTTTTTGATTTATTGTAGAGATGAGGTCTCGCCAAGTTGCCCAGGCTGGTCTCAAACCCCTGGGCTCAGGCAGTCCTCTTGCCTCGGCCTCCCAAAGTACTGGCATTACAGGCTTGAGGCACAGCACATGACCTATGATATTATTTTTACTAGGGAAAGATTGGAAAAATGTTTCAATGTTCAACAATAGTGGACTGGCTAAATAAATTATAATATCTCCATATGTAAATTTTAGAAAATAAATTTATAGGAAAATAGTGACTTTGGGAAATTTTCTCAGTATATTAAGTGAAAAAAGTAGTCTGTAGTAACAACTGTATCAACACAATATTTTTAATATTATTATAAAATATTATTATATTAAGTATAATACTATATCTCACTCCCTAAACTGTATGCATATTATATTTACTATATAATATTTTTAGTATTATAAAAAGATTATAGAAGGGAAGGAAATGGCTTCAAAATATTTACAGTAATCTCTAAATAGCACAATTACAGATGATTTTTATTTTCTTCTGTATTTCCCATAATAAACAGTTAACTTCAGTAAAAAGAAATGCATTGTATTGCTTTAAAAAAAGGGAAATATTTGGAATAATGCAACTAGAGTACTTTAGACATAAAGTATATCTGATCATTTCTCTGTTTCCATGTTCTAGATTTTGTATTGATTCTGAAAATAGAATTGGAAATGGTGGCGTAGAAGAAATAAAAGGTCACCCCTTTTTTGAAGGCGTAGACTGGGGGCACATAAGGTATGTTCCTAGGCTTTGGGAGAGGTCTGAGTAAAAACAAATTTCTGGATTTAGTGATTAATTTACCTCTGATTCTGCTAGATTAAATACAAAAAGTAACACCGTTATAATGTTAGTAAGTCAGTGTTTTCTGAATTCTATGAGTGGGACTACAGTGACTACAGCCAAATGACTTGTTTTAGGCTAATGTCATTTTCAGGAAAAAACATATCGTGTACCTGTTTAGAGTCTCATATTCATACTCAGTGAAGGCTGTTAGCACTTGAAAGATGTATTTATGTTTCACACTGTGGCCCCTCATTTTTCTCCTCTCTCTGACATGCTGCCTCTCCTTAATTTATAATAAGGTACGGTCCCTTCTTTCAATTTGGGTGGAGTTTAAACAATTCAAGTAACTTTTCAGAATTTGCTTATTATGAGCAGTGACTTTTTTTCAGTTTCTGGTCAAACTGTCTTTAGTAGTTCAGGTCTCTCCTCCACACAGCCAGAATCTAGAGACATAATTCTGGTCATGCCTTTTTTCTCCTTCCCTTTGCACTTGGAATAAAGTTAAGAACCCTTTATCTGCACAGGTTGCTTCTTGGATGGTCTTTCCTGCTCCTTCCTGTCACAGAGTTGTCATTTGCTATTCATCTTGACTAAAATGCTGCTCTTGGGCCTGCCTCATCCGGCCTCTACCCTTTCCCTGCCTAGTCAACTTATTTGCGTCTTCCAAGGCAGCTAATGTATCATTTCCTCAGAGCAGATCTTCCCTGGACATTCTGCTGTGTGCTAGACACTCTACCTATTACAGTAATTACTCATTTCAAAAACCATTTATTGTGTGTCCAGCACTGTTCTAAGCATTTTACTTGCATTTCTCATCGTATCCTCAGAATAAGCCCTATAAAATAGAAACAATTATTATCCCTATTTTCCAGCTGAGGAAACTAAGGCATAGAAAAGTTAGATAATTTGCCTACAGTGCCACAGACAGTAAATGAAAGAGCTAGAATTGGACCCAGGCAGTTTGATTCTAGAGACCTAACTTTTAACCACTACACTGTATGTTGTATTATACTGTACATACATCATCTCATTGAACAGAACTGTAATACCCCTCTTTTTATAGTTGCAGGGATGCTTAGAGAATACCAGTCCAATCTCTTGGTTTTATAATGAGGAAATAGTGACAGAGCAGGAATTGCCTGCCTAAGGTCATACTGCTCATGGCAAGAAAGGCTCCAGTATCTATGCTTATTTTCACTAACCTAGGTTTATTAAGTTAGCATGTTAAGTATAAATAAGTTAGAATAATTTTGGTAGAGATATTTATATGCTTTCATATAATTTGGTAAACTTAGCATCTAATAGAGCCAATAAATATTTGTTGAGAAAAACAGTAGCAATAAAAATCAATAGCTTATCTTAACTATTTCTATAGTTAAACATTTTTGGCATTTTCATTACCTTTTTTAACAAAATATCTCTAATTTTCTTAAAATTTCTATGATGGAGAAGTTTTTGCATTCAGATTTCATCACAAATATGTAACCCATTTACCATTTGTGACCCTATTTTCCCAAATTACTTTTGATTTCTGGATCCTCTACTAGAATTCTATTCCTGAATCAACTAGGAAAGATCATCTTTACAATAGCTCACATACTTTATGTAATTATAAAATCTCTTTTTTTTTTTTTTTTTTGAGTTGGAGTCTCACTCAGTCACCCAGACTAGAGGGCACTAGAGTGCAGTGGCCGCTTCCGGCCACCGCAGCCTCGCCTGCTGGGCTCCAGCGATCTTTCCGCCTCAGTCTTCCGAGTAGCCGGAATTACAGGCATGCGCTACCACGCCCAGCTGATTTTTTGATTTATTGTAGAGATGAGGTCTCGCTGCCCAGGCGGGTCTCGAACCCGCGGGCTCAGGCAATCCACTCACCTCAACCTCCCAAAGGCGCGGGATTACAGGCTGAGCCACTGAGCCCAGCTAATTATAAAATCTTTAAATAAATTATTTTCTTTTCCTTTTATTAGCTGTTGTTCTTCCACTTAAAAAATAGCATGAGAAAGTCTTGGTACAAAGAAAAATTCCAAGTAAATGAAATTATTTTAACAAAAAATTACACTCAGCTATTTTGAAATCTACTTCACTATTCTCAAATCCAAGTAAATTTCCTTGGCCTTTATAATATATATAGAACAGCATGCAGAATTTGCCAATAGAATCATTTGTTGGAAAATTGAGAGTTCCAGAAAAGTTACCATGGGTGCTCAATACCTTTTTACAGGGAAAGGCCAGCAGCAATCCCTATAGAAATCAAAAGCATTGATGATACTTCAAATTTTGATGACTTCCCTGAATCTGATATTTTACAACCAGGTATGATGATTTATAAGTAACTACCACTTTTAAAAGTCTGTGAAGATGATGACATTTCACTAATTAAATTCTTTTGTTCTTGGTTAACTTTTCTATCTTCCTAGTGCCAAATACCACAGAACCAGACTACAAATCCAAAGACTGGGTTTTTCTCAATTATACCTATAAAAGATTTGAAGGGTTGACTCAACGTGGCTCTATCCCCACTTACATGAAAGCTGGGAAATTATGAAGATCACATTCGCCCATAACCAAGAGAACTCAGGTAGCTGCATCACCAGGCTTGCTTGGCGTAGATAACAATACACGGATATACTCCTGAAGATGGTGGTGCTCATCGACTACAAGAGGAAATTCTACAGGATTAGGATTTCTAAGACTACTACAGGAATTGGTTGGCAGTGCCAGCTGGCTTTTTTTTTTTAATGTTTTATTATTTTTGTTAACTTTATTATACGAAGGTACTGGAATAAAAGGAACGTACATCCCTTCCTAACTGCACTGCCTACATGCGTATTAAGGTCCATTCTGCCTGTGTGTGCTGTGGCTTTGAACTGTAACACCTCTAATCAATTCAGGAGAAACACATATCATTTAAAGCAACATAGGCTAACCTGTAGGTGACACTGCAGTATTGCTGTTTTACTGCAAATCTTATGGGTCTAGATAATCAGTAAAAGCCATCTTCCATAGTTGGTGTTAGAACACTTGCTCTATTGGTTTGGATATCTGTAGAATATATATGAAGACAATTTCTGTAACGGTTTTAAGAAATTTAAAAAGAAATACACTGGTTCATTAAAAAATAGAATTTTTCATTGAGTTATTGCACAGACTCCACAGTAGGGAGTGACAAGTTTATAAGAAGAAGGAGAAAGTTTAACACCTTCACTCAAGCACTCCACTAATATATTTACTTTGCAAATAAACGTAGTCTGTATACTCATAGGGAGATGTACTGTATTATATAAAATGTAAAGTTGCTTTTCTTGTGACAAAAGGACTTCTTTTTTAACAAGAGGATATGGCATTATTTTAATTTGATTATGGTGAGTTGAATTTAAGAAATGACCATGAAGGCTGCTTGTAGAATGAGTGTATTTTTATTAAACTATTTTTTTAAATGTCAAACTTCTGATCATGTAAATGGACTTGTAAAGAACAAACAGCTATTTACTTTGGTTTTCTAGAAAGTTGTTACATATCATGGCTGGTTAACTTTTATTTCTTTTGATGAAAAATTTTCCTTTGACAGTACTTGTATTATTGTGCCATTATTTTCTTATGCTCCAAATGTACCAAAGATCCTGAACAGAGTGGATGTTCACAGCTGAGTAGAATTTTACCTTCCTGTGGGAATGCTGTATTCAGACATGACAGATCTTTGATGGAGGTCAGCTTATTCACAGGCCATATTATTGTTCATGTTTAGCTACATCACTGTGGTTAATATAGACAGAATTAAGGAAGTACATGCAGGCCAGGGGGGCTGTGATTAGAGGAAAGGGGAGATAATGTCAGCATCAAATTCTTTGGGTATTTCCCGAAGAATTATATAATGTTTTCTAAAAAGCTCAGTATTTTAATTCTAATTTAAACAACTCTGAGGTTTTGGTTTCATAAGCACTAGTTGAGGAATAATACTTTAGCAACAAATGGCCTAATGTTTGTCTTCACTGTTAACTGATAAAATTTTTTAAAGTTACAACAATTATAACCATTACAAATGATCTGTGATCAAAATCTAAAGTGATTTATTTGTAGGAATCTCTTCCTAATGAGGAAGAACTGCATAGAAGCATTATGCAAATCTACAAAAGCTTTTATAAATGTTGCTGCTAGGTAGCTCCATAGTATTTTAATAAGGCCATCCTGGTTCCCTTCTCTTTTTTTATTTGTTTCTTTTGAGTAATTTCTGTGTGTTTATCTAATAGTTCACCTCCATTTTTCTAGTCTGCATCATGCGACTGAGTATTTAGGAAGAAAGCTATTAAAACTCTGGGGTTATTTCAATTTGACTAAGTTCAATTTTTCTAATTATAACTGCCTTTAATTTTTAGGAAAAAAACTTTCAACTTCTGTTGGAGTTTATGAGATTTTTTTTTTTTCACTCCACATCACACCCCCCCCTTAAACAACAAACAAACACAGTTTTGCTAACCTGATAATGGCTAAATAAGATATGAGGAAACTGCAACATACTGTAATTCTAGTATGATAACTATTCTAGTACAGAAAAATATCACTAATTCAAGTTCACAGAGACTGAGATTGATATAAAGGAACTGAATTGCCTGAGTTTACTTTTTAATTGCATACAAATACAGCATTTTAGTTTTGATTTTCCTTATTCTTATTGTGAGAAAGAACTTGGAAATAGTTATAATTTCTTGGCAGTGGAAAGGCAGTTCTGGAAAGCTTACTTGATTTAGAGTCTCATTCTTCCCTGGAGTTTATAATAGAGTGATTCACAATCTTTGGGGTTTTCTCCTCATCAAAAGCATTTCTTAAGTGCCTATCTAAAAGCAATTAAAGACTGTGTCTGCCCTCTGGAAGCTAAGAATTTGATTCATAATGCAAATTAGCTAGATAATTTGCAAAGTACCCTTGAGATTGAATTTTCTCTATTATACATTTCCCATAGTTCAGGTGAATCATTTAATTTAAATGACAAAACCCTATCTAATCAACTGGGCATAATGACATTTTCTTTAAATTAGACTCTATTTTGAATTAAAAAAGTTTTATTATAAACTGTGTTTTGGGTTTTCTAAGTATATAGAAAACTTGTATAATTCAAATTTATCGATTTCCTGATTTAATGTAGACTTTGACTTTTTTATTAAAAACCTTTGTATTAAAGCAAGTTATGCTATTTTTCTTTTGTTAATTTATTAATATAGCTTTAAGTCTTTAGAGGTATTAAAGCATTGTGCTGTCTGAAAATAAGGAACTGCTTATAAATCAGGCACTTCTGAATAGACTATATGTGTACAGCTGATTTAATAAGCTAGTTAGTTGAATGGAAAATAACAAGTGTGAAATATTAAAAATGTTCTTTGTTGCTAAGGCTTAAGATAGGGTTTCGTTTATTTCTATGCTAGCATACTTTTTCTGTTTTTTAAACACCTGCATAGCTTTGTGTAACTCTCTAGATCTTAAAATATTTTTAAGTACATTTATTTTTGGTTTTATTGTAGAAAACCATTAGACAATCAATTACTTAGTCGCTACTGATAGAAGAAACAGTTACCTATCTTTTGATGGCCTACAAATAAATGAATTGAGCGCTTAAGCAGTAGAGGTCCCTGGCTACTGAACACATTTTCTCTTTGTTAAAATTCAGAACATTCAAAATGACTGTTTTGCTATAACTGTGTTCATTTCCCCCTCATCTTTAAATTTTATTTTTCTCTTTAGAAGTGCACTTATTTCTGGAAAAAAAAAACTTAATGAAAGAAACACTTAGAACAAATATAAATATAAGACTCTTGAGACTACTAGAGATATTTTAGATTTTTATGAAAAAAATGAGGGAATATTGCTGTTTTCAAAAGGAATAAAGTAACAGAAATATATCTTAGCTATTTTTTTAAAGCAATATAATCCAACAGTTGTCTAGAAAATAATCATCAGGCTATCAAGTTGGGTGTTCAGTTACTGAGTTTCAAAAAATGTTTTGGTGCATGAGGGCTTTTTCATTAAAGGCAAGACAAGAATAAAAACTGTTTACAACATTTCTGTTGGTGAGGTTTTTGGTTTTATTTTTGAGTTTTGAGATAGACATTATCTAAAACTCAAGAAAGACTATTTTGTAAATGTAAATTACTGAATAACTTTTTATACTTGAAAATCACATCAAGAACAAAATAAATATTTGAAGTTTACATTTAAAATCTTCATTCAGGCCAGGCACAGTGGCCTTACATCTGTCATCCCAGCACTTTGGGAGGCAGAGGTGAATGCCCAAGGGGTTCAAGAGCAGCCTGAGCCCGGAGGTTCAAGACCAGCCTGGGCAACTTGGTGAGACCTCATTTCTACAGTCCATCAAAAAATTAGTCAGGCGTGGTGATGCACACCTGTAGTTCCAGCTACTTGGAAGGCTGAGATAGATGGATGGCTTGAGCCCAGTAGGTGGAGGTGGTGGTAGCCACTCCACTGCCACTGCACTCCAGCCTGGGCATGAATGAGACACTAACAAAAAAAAAACAACAAACTCCATATCTATAGTTAAAAACATCTGGCAACACAAACTATAAGTTATAATTTTAGGTACATACGGGGTATATAGCTTATATACAACTACCCCACTTGATCAAACCCAACAAGAAAGCAGTAAATTGAAAACGTCTCAAAATAGCATAAACATTTAAGTGGCCCAGGTACCACTACCTCCTGTTTCTCTGAAGACACTGACAATCATAATACTTTTTCCACTGAGCCCAGAGGGAGTCAGTGAGAATCCCTTTCAGCCTCATTGTGCTCCAGCTGTTCTCTGACATCCTTTCAATAATGCCATTTAAGATTCACTGAAAATTCAGTAAAAACACTGAATGCCAAAATGTGGGCATTACAGCAAACTTGGAGACTCTAAATACATCTTTCAGAAGCATCTAGTGATACAAAATAACTTATATTTGTATACAAAATGCCTTCACTTATATTATTCATTTGCTTTTTACAACTATTCTGTAATTACATAAACATAATTAACAGCATTTGATAGATGGTGAAGATGAGGCTGAGTGATTGTGACTTTCCCGGAATACAGGTAATAGACTGCTCTTGAACCCATGTTCAGTGCCTCTTCCACTTCTCCAAATCATAGCGTGTGTCTCATTGACAAATTACCTTATATACTTCCAGGACCTCAGAAGAATACGTAGGCTGGTAGTGACAGAGGTATTACTTTGTGTACTTTTGACTCTAAGTGACAGAAGACATAGTAAAAACGGCTTCAACAATAAGGAAAATGAGAGCGCAGTGGGTCACGCCTGTAATCCCAGCACTTTGGGAGGCCAAGGCAGGAGGATTGAGCCCAGGAGCTGGAGACCAGCCTATGCAACATAGTGAGACCTAGTCTCTATTAAAGCAAAACAACAAACAAATAAGGAAAACGAGTATCTCATATAACACGAAGAAACAACATAGAACTTCCAGGGTAGTCAATTTAGCATCTCAAAAACATCAAGGGGCCGGTGGGGTGGCTCGACACCTGAATCCCATCACTTTGAGAGGCTGAGGTGGGAGGATCATTTGAGGCCAGGAGTTCCAGAACAGCCTAGGCAACATAGGGAGATGTCTCTACAAAAAGTAACTTTAAAAATTAGCCAGGAATGGTGGTGTATGTCTGTAGTCCCAGCTAGGGACTACTAGGGAGGTTGAGGTGGTATGATCTCTTGAGCCCAGGAGTTCAGTGCTGTGCTGAGCTATGATTGTGCCACTGCATTCCAGCTCGGGCAACAGAGCAAGACGTTTCTAAAAACAAAAAAATCGTTAAGGGATCTGGGCATGGTGGTGCATGCCTGTAGTCCCAGCTACTCTAGAAACGGAGTGGGGAGAATGGCTTGAGCCCAGGAGTTTGAGACTAGTCTGGGCAACATAGTGGGAGGCCATCTTTCATTTCTTTACTTTGTCATTCTGAGTGTTGGCTCTGTCTTTGGTCTAGAGGCTAGATGGCTACAGAAACCCTAAGCATTAAATCCTTATACAATACACAAGTCCTTAAAAAGAGAAACTACTTCTTGTGCATCCTCACTTCTTAAGAGCAAGGAAAACCTTTTCCAGAAGCATTCTACGCGAGGTTACCCTCATAACTTATTCGCCATAATTGTGTCATCCATCCATTCCTAAACTAGTACTTGGACTAGCAATTGACTTAAAACGAATCAAGATTCATAACCCTGCTGTTGGGTCGGGCTCACCTAAAGCTCATGGCCACAATATACCAAAACCAAATTAGGGTTCTATTGATAAGCTACAAGGTAATCAAAAAGAGGTTCCAACCCGAAGCCAATGCACCTAGATTCTGTTGTTGGATCAATCATTGCCTACATATGAACTGAAGATTGGTCATTAACATCTTTCCTGACCCATCTGTTAACTGGGAGAACCTCTGTGCTAGGCCATGG